AAGTTAGACAGCGTACCAAGTAGTGTGGCTATCTAAAATCAAATAATAATCAAAATGATATCACTATACAGGTTGACAAACAGAAAAGTGAGGAGCTGGACAAAGTCTTATACAGAAGGATTAGAGACATCTCCTCTTCATTAACATGTTGTGTTACTGTATTTAAAACATTTCACAATGTTTTTGGGATTTTGGGAGGAGAGGGAAGGGCAATATTTTGATTTTTAATAAATTTGTTTTAATATTTTAAATTATTTGAATCAAGGATGAAAAAATAATAGATTGACATAATAATAATACATTTCTATTAAATCAAAAATAAAAGTTTTACCCTTTCTTTCCCTCTAAATCCTCCTGCCCTCCCCTCAAACAACCCCATAAAAATCAATTTAAATAACACAGTAGTATCAATTGATTCCATTTGTCTATTCTCATAAAAGTTATTCATTGATCTTTAATGTTTCTATTGGATAATGGCATTCCTATCCATCAAACTTATCACATCGACTCATATAAAGATGCTCAAAGCATGAGTTCACCGTTGCAATAGTTATTCCACATTTTCACTATTCATTTTCCTAGTATATCTCTTTAGAAATCGACATATTATTGTCTTCTCTATGTAAATACCAGAGTTTAACTGTCATCTCTAACTTTGAATTTTAAAAGAAACGAAGAAGAGAATGATCTAAAACTAAACAATAAGACAGTCTGTAGGACACACAAGTCTAATCTTTCTCTCGCTAAAATGGACTCAAAAAAGTATATATGTCCTTCAAAATTGAAAGTCAATTGCAAGTGTATGCGAAGCTTTAGCATAATAACAAGAGATGCAATTATGTGTCTTAATAGCTCCAAAACTTCTTACATAATGCAAACAAAACAAAAACCTCGCTTCTATACATGTCCAGCATAATCAAATGAACAATATTATGTAAGAACACAAGCTACGAGCATCATTTAATCCAAAATAAAAAGCAAATAAAAAAGAATGAAGTAGTTCCTTAACATAAAAAACAATGTGATCCCTGTTTTAATAAACTAAAACAACAATTTAATTTTATTTGAAAACATAACCCAATAAAAAGTAGTTCTTTTTTCTCATCAAAACTTTTATTCAGTATAAAAAAAAAGGTTTACCTACTAAAATCTCCTAACACAGGTTAATTAACTCAGGGCACCACTTAGATGTAAAACTCGAAAGTCCCAAAATTAGCAATAGGAAGATAAAGTTCTGCAGATTCAAATATGTGCAAATATGATGTTCAATCAAACAAAAACATGTATTTCATGAGTACAAAACATTTATTATACATTGTTCTTTTAGTTCTTAGCATAAAAAATAACAATGTATGTAATTGGTAGGGGGCCACGAGAGAATAAAAGAGTGATAGAGTAGAGGATAAAAGAGTGATACTATGAACTTTTAAAGAAATTTTTTATTTTAATTATTTTTAACATTTTTTATCAATTAAAAAAGTTAATATATGACTTTTTATTAAGTGAAATAATTCATAGATTAAAATTTTTTTATTTAAAATTAAGATTGATGTCATGATAAAATAAAAATAGAAACATTAAGACTCTTTAAAACAAAGAAATAAATCAGTGTTATTTTATTAATTAATGAAAAAATATTACATAATTATTTTAAATAATATAAATTATGAAGTATAAAATAAAAATTATATTTGTTAATAAATAAAATTTAATAATAAATAATATTAAATAAATAATGAAATTAAAAATTTAATTTGTCAATTTCTTATACAATTAACTACTAATTTATTTAATATAATGATTAATAAAATAATTTTTAATTTTTATTTTAATAAATCATTTGTTAGCCTCTAAATCAGTCACTAATAATTATTGATAATCAATTGTTAATTATCTAAGAAAATCGATTACTAAATTAGTCATTATGTTGAAATAAAGTTTGGTATAATCAATCATAAATCAGTCACTAATAATAATGAAAAAAATCAGTCACTAATTTAAAAAAAAAAAATAATCGCTAGGTCATCATTATTATTATTTTACTTTTGAAAAATTAGTTTCTAAATCAATTACTAATAGTAACCGAATATTTCACTCTCTAGTTTTTTAAGAAAATTGGTCACTAATTTTGTCATTAAATCAATTAATAAATATTTTTAAGATTAATCTTAAATTAGTCTTCAAATTGGTCACTAATAAGGACAGATAAATTGGTCGCTAATTTTTAAAGAAAATCAGTATCTATTTCAGTCTCTAAAAGATAAAATATAATTATCTTAACTAATAATATATTTGGTTTCTAAATTAGTTACAATAGTGACCAAAAATTTTTGTCGCTAAAAATAGTCACTAAATGATGATTTTGTTGTAGTGATTGTGGATATTAATTTAGAGAAAAGAATATTAGTATTATATGACCATTGGTTATTGATAATATTTGCATGAATGATTGGTAATTATAAAGAAATCGAATTAAAAGTCAAATAAAAGAATAACAGAAATGATTGAATGAATAAGCTCATATGTTCTAGGTTTCTCTCCTATGAGTTCAACCAAAAAGTGTTATGTTATTTGCTCTGAATTTAATTGATAATTAATTCAGTTATTATTCTCCTTTAAATTTAAATTCTCATCTTTTAAGCTCAAATAATCGAATTAAGAATTTTTTATAATTGAAACAATCCTTATAAGATGATAAATTGGAGAATTATTTTAGAACCATTTATTACTTTTAGGGACACTTACCCACAAACAAGTTTATGGTGCATTATAGGGGATTATTTTTTCAATATTAAGAAAATCTCATATTTAATTGATTTGAGCAATTCCTATTTTGCTTTATTTTAATTTTGTTTTATTTATTTTTATTTTTACTTTATTTATAATGTTTTAGTTGTTCTTAAATTTATAAAATTTTCTTTAGTACATGCTTACTCATTATAAGCCTTTTATAGCTTGCTCATTTGATCTATAAATTGAAAGCATTGTACGAAGACAAATGAAAGAGTTGAGAAAGAAAAAAAAATGGCAAAGAGGAGGAGATCATTTCAAGATTGCATCATACCCACTACTGGAGGTGCTTCTGGAAGCATTGCGACCCCCAATGTGAAGGCAAACAATTTTGAGTTGAAGCTTGCGTTGATTACCATGATTCAAAACTCTACATGATGTCATGATAAAATAAAAATAGAAACATTAAGACTCTTTAAAAGAAAGAAATAAGATCAGTGTTATTTTATTAATTAATGAAAAAATATTACATAATTATTTTAAATAATATAAATTATGAAGTATAAAATAAAAATTATATTTGTTAGTAAACAAAATTTAATAATAAATAATATTAAATAAATAATGAAATTAAAAATTTAATTTTTCAATTTCTTATACAATTAACTACTAATTTATTTAATATAATGATTAATAAAATATTTTTTATTTTTTATTTTAATAAATCATTTGTCAGCCTCTAAATCAGTCACTAATAATTATTGATAATCAATTGTTAATTATCTAAGAAAATTGATTACTAAATTAGTCATTATGTTGAAATAAAAGTTTGGTATAATAAATCATAAATCAGTCACTAATAATAATGAAAAAAATCAGTCATTAATTTAAAAAAAATAATAATCGCTAGGTCATCATTACTATTATTTTACTTTTGAAAAATTAGTTTCTAAATCAATTACTAATAGTAACCGACTATTTCAGTCTCTAGTTTTTTAAGAAAATTGGTCACTAATTTTGTCATTAAATCAATTAATAAATATTTTTAAGATTAATCTTAAATCAGTCTTTAAATTGGTCACTAATAAGGACAGATAAATTGGTCACTAATTTTTAAAGAAAATCAGTATCTATTTCAGTCTTTAAAAGACAAAATATAATTATCTTAACTAATAATATATTTGGTTTCTAAATTAGTTACAATAGTGACCAAAAATTTTTGTCGCTAAAAATAGTCACTAAATGATGATTTTGTTGTAGTGATTGTGGATATTAATTTAGAGAAAAGAATATTAGTATTATATGACCATTGGTTATTGATAGTATTTGCATGAATGATTGGTAATCATAAAGAAATCGAATTAAAAGTCAAATAAAAGAATAACAGAAATGATTGAATGAATAAGCTCATATGTTCTGGGTTTCTCTCCTATGAGTTCAACCAAAAAGTGTTATGTTATTTGCTCTGAATTTAATTGATAATTGATTCAGTTATTATTCTCCTTTAAATTTAAATTCTCATCTTTTAAGCTCAAATAATCGAATTAAGAATTTTTTATAATTGAAACAATCCTTATAAGACGATAAATTGGAGAATTATTTTAGAACCATTTATTACTTTTAGGGACACTTACCCACAAACAAGTTTATGGTGCATTACAGGAGATTATTTTTTCAATATTAAGAAAATCTCATATTTAATTGATTTGAACAATTCTTATTTTGCTTTATTTTAATTTTGTTTTATTTATTTTTATTTTTATTTTTATTTTTACTTTATTTATAATGTTTTAGTTGTTCTTAATTTTATAAAATTTTCTTTAGTACATGCTTACTCATTCTAAGCCTTTTATAGCTTGCTCATTTGTTCTATAAATTGAAAGCATTGTACGAAGACAAATGAAAGAGTTGAGAAAGATTGCATCATACCCACTACTAGAGGTGCTTCTGGAAGCATCGCGACCCCCAAAGTGAAGGCAAACAATTTTGGGTTGAAGCTTGCATTGATTACCATGGTTCAAAACTCTACATAGTTTGGAGGATTGTCTAATGAAGACTCTAACCTTCATCTAACAAAATTCCTTCAACTCACAAACACTATAAAGTATAACAGGGTCATCACTAATGCTATTAGGCTTTGTCTTTTCCCATTCTCTGTTACAGAAAAGATGAATGCATGGTTCCACACACTTCCAACGGGTTCCATCACAACATGGTAGGATTTGACTTAATAATTTCTGAGAAAATAATTTCTCCCATCTAGATCTGTTAAGCTTATGACAAAAATTTCTAGTTTCCATCAGTATGATTTGGAATCCTTATTTGAAGCATGGGAGCAATTTGGAGAACTTTTGAGGAATTGTCCTCACCATAATTTTCCTATGTGAAGACAAATGCAAATATTTTATGGTGGCCTATCAGTCTCCAATAGGGCCATAGTTGATACCGCAACTGGAGGAGCTCTCATGAGAAAAGACTTAGATGAAGCATATAAACTAGTAGATGACATAGCCTCTGCTAGTTTTCAGTTGCACACAGCTAACCATTATATGAGTCAGAAGAGGGAGACTGCTCTAGTACATCTAATAAAGAGTAATAACCTTCTAACAACTTAATTAGAAGCTTTGACTAAACAAGTGGAATTCTTATTGAAAGTACATGATGTAGGAGGCAGATCTATCCTTGAGGAAACTTGTTTCTTAATGCTTCTTTGGATGAAAAGCTCTCAGCCAAGGAGCACTTTGCAACAATTCTGAGATAATTGAATGAAGAATAAGGGAAAAGAAATATGAACAATAGTGGAGGAGAAAAGAAATGGAAAAGAAAAGACACCACTCTATGGAGATAAGCCTAGGCATGATTTTCCACAGTGGAAGGATCCATTGATACGAACTATAAGCTCAAAGTTCTTTTTGAACAATTGAGAGGAAAAAGAGAATGAATCTCACAAACTCAAAAGAATATTCTTCATTTATGAGTGAAAGTATGTGATTTACTAAGGGAGAAGCTTTTATATAGGTTTGTATAGGGAGGTTATGTTAATGGGCTTTCCTAAAAGCAAGTCCAATTCCTAAGCTCTTTAACTAAAGGTGGCCAAAATACATGGCCTAAAAAATCCTTAGCAACTAAGTCAAAAATATAAGGCTAACTAATGAAATATGAAGAAGAAATCCTAAACTAATACATGGTATTTATATATAGAAAAGATGTATACATGAGGCCAATGTATCTATTATGGTGCATGTGAAGTATGAATAGGTTTTCATGTGATCCTTCAAAGGGTGTGGTTCCTCTAAGTGCCTCATAAGCCCAATAAGCTTGTTGAGAGCCTCTTTGACCTTCTTAGCCCTTGAACTAGTCATGGGGCCTTGAATTCCCTCCAAAGCATCCTCATAGTGCTCTATGGTCTCTTCGTGTGTGAGGTCCTCATCAGTACAAGAGCAATCAAATAAACCACCTACAAATTCTTTGTGTGAGCACTGCGGCTCCTTAGGCCATGATCACCATAACTTCACACTCACTAAAATTAAAGAAGAAGAAAATTTCATAGGTAGTAATTACAACTTGGGGTGACGAAGTAACACTCTTAACTCTTGGGGGAGTGGTCTTAGAAGTTAAATTTTAAATGTTTATCGCCCTGCCTATATACAAAATCAAGGAGCAAGACTAAAAGGAAAGGAGATTTCTAGATCTCAATCCAAATTTCAAAAGCAAATGATATAGTATGTGCACTATTAATATAAGAGGATGTCAGATATTGAGTCTAAGCTGGAGCAGCACATTCAAAAATAGGATAGAAGTTTTACATAAATTAAAATAGAGATATAATCACATTCGTCAAAGGTTAAGTCTCAATTGAAACAAATTACTTATCTCTTGAGTCAAAGAATTTTGGGAATATTGTTAACCTTGCCTGCACCTAATCTAAGGGAGCAATACAATGCTATCACCCTTAGAAGTAGGAAGAAATACAAGAATCACAAAATATAGACACATGCACGCCCATGCTTACTGAAAAGCATGTCTGATGTGACATCTTTTAGGTTTCTATTTATAATTTTATTTTGATTAATAAATACTTTTCATATGCTTTATTTTTAGAGTTTTTATCATTTTCTATTTATTTGAATAAATTTGGCTTGTTACAAATAAATGCTCTGATTTTGTATTTTTGATTATTCTGACCTCTGACTACTCTTTTAGCCATAACGTTTTCTATAGATATCATTTTTAGCGGATTCTAATTGCATTAGATTCTACACATCCAAGGCTTCAAAATAGATATATGGATCACTAGATTTGGAGTTTTTTTTTATTTTTTATGATTTTTTGAAGTTGAGGCATATTTGCTGAATATTGTTGTAGGATTGGATTTAGACCCTTGTTATTTAATAATTGTATTTGGGCTTTTAGATATTATTGAGGCCTGCATTTTGGCCACTTAATTTATCCTAATCAGAACCTATAAAGAGACTAATAAGGTTCTAAATTAAGGAGAAGTGATTAGACAGATTGAGATTTTGAGACTTGGCCGACATAAGAATCTTTGTTTTTACTTTCTCTCAACCTCTCTTGTTCTTTTCTCATTCTTGCGTGAGGTATGCATATCGATGGAATGCTAAACATCTCGTTTAATTTGTAAAATCCAAACGCCGTAATTTCTAAATTGCTCCAAGTTTGTTCTTTTTTTTTTTAATCTCAAAATTATGTATTGCGATCGTAATTGACTTTTCTGTTGTTAGAATTCAAATTAGGACTCGATTGATGCTCTGATTTGATAATTAATGTAGATTAGATTAAATGATTATTTTGATTTAATTCATAACTCTATTTAATTAGGATATTTGATTGAATTAATAATTGAATTAGGTGATTGTTCAAACGCGAATTTAAATCTTTAGATACTGTAATAGTCAGAGTTACACGCAATTGGTATTCTGTGGATTGATGTTTCTTAATTCATTTTTACTCACTTTAATTATGTCCGCAATTTAATTTAATTAATTTACAATTTTTAAAACCCTAAAAAACCTTATTTGCATTCTTTAAAACAAAACCTAAAATTGAATTTGACCTTGCATTCTAATGAGCACGCCTTTGCTCCTAAAGAAGCACGACTATGCTACGTGAAGCACAATCATTCGTCCCTATGAGCAAGGTCGTGCTTCAAGTGTAGAGTATGAAAAAGAGAATAAAGAAGAACCTCCTACACAACCAAAGGCTTATAAACCTATAATACCTTTCCTATAAAGGTTGTAGGGCCAATCCCCCTATAACATAAAGTTTGAAAAATTCTTAGACCTTTTGGAAAAGGTGCACATCAATATGTCTTTCATTATTGTTATCTCCAAAATGCTCAAATGTGCTAAGTTTCTTAAGGAGATTTTGACTAATAAAAGAAAGTTAAGAGTACATGAAACTGTGAAGCTCAATAAATAGTGTTCAGTTATAGCCCTTAAAAAGCTTCTGCTTAAGCTTAAGGAATCAGGATGTTTCATTATCCCCTGCACCATCGGGAAAACTAACATTGATAGAGCTCTTTGTGATTTAGGGGCAAGCATCAATCTTATGCCCTACTCTATTTTCAAGAAGCTTGGGATGCACAAGCCTAAGCTGACCTTTGTGTCACTTCAATTGGCAGATAAGTCGATTACTTATCCCAAAGGTATAGTAGAAAATGTGTTGGTGAAGCTTGGAGAGTTTCTATTTCCTGTAGATTTTGTGGTGCGTGACATGGAGGATGATAATGATGTCTCCATCATTTGAGGTATATGATGAATCCATATTTTGACCGATATTTTAGCATAATTCTAACACAAATGATAAGAAAAATATATAAAGAAAGCAGAAAAACTTAGAAAAAGAGAAGGAATTGAATTTTGTTTACATATGTAGTTATTTTAGCAATTGTGAAATTTTTGCTTAGGAATTAAGTTTTTAATCTTGTTTTTGTAGGAATAAATTGAGCAAGGATCATATTCATGGAAGTTTGATGACAAGGAAGAGGAAAGAAACAAGTCTGGACTCCAAAAACTCAAGAATAAGAAATTGCAGCCTGGGCGTTACCACTTTTATCAGTAAAAGTGATAGTTCCAGAGAGGCAAAATATCAGGAAAGCTTTGCGTAACCACTATTGTCATCAAAAGTGATCGTTCCAGAGAGTCTTCAACTTGGCGAGCTGCGCGTAGTCACTTTTATCAGAAAAAGTGATAACGCGCAACTACCTTGGCTCTGCGTTGTCACTTTTATCATCAAGAGTGATAGTTCCAGAGAGCTCTCAATATCAGGAAAATGCGCGTGGCCACTATTTCTGGGAAAAGTGTTAACGCGCAACCAAAAACTCTCTGCGTAACTACTATTTCTTATAAAAGTGATGACGTGAAAGTCTGGGAAATTTTATAAATACCAGAAGCGATCCGGAAAAAAGGGATTCTGTTCATTTTCAGTTTTTTTTGTTAGTTTCTGGTTAGAAGAAGTGAGAGAGAGGAGTGGGGATTCAGATCTTGGAGCTTCACGAAGAGGAATTGGAGTGGAGCAAGCTTCCATGGTGTTTCTGAGTTTCTTCTTCTCTTCTTCTCTTTCTTTTTCTTCTTCTGCTGCCATGGCTGTGTAATTCGTTCATAGTTAGGGATTGTAGATCTGAAATGAACATGTTGAATTGATTTGGATCTGGATTTCAAGCTTTGGAATAGATTGAGTGATTGATTCTGAACTTCACGTGTGAATTGAATGGAAATTTGATTAACTAAATTCAGAGGAACCTTTGTCAATGGAAATTGAATTTGTTCTTCAGATCTAAACCAATCACCGAGATTTTAGTTTTCTTAGGGATAAGGAACTTTGATCTTGCAATCTTTTGGTTTCTTACACTTAAAGCAACATTGAATTGAATTAGATCTAAGGAATTAGAATGGTTTAATTGAATGTTAGGTTCACTGAGTTAAGGAATTAACCTCTGAATAGTATAAAGTGAAACTGATTGTCATTCTTTCCAATTGCTTGTTAATTCAGAACTTTATTGATTAAACATTGGAGTTTTGGTGAAGCAATTCCCTAGCTATGGTTTCTCCCTCTGTTATCACATAACTGTGTGTGCATTGTCTTGTTTGTTGCAAGTTCATTTTACTTTTAATTGTTCCAGTTTGCTGTTATTAGATGTTACCACTCTCCTTACAATTTCGAAAAAGCTTAAATGGTTATAATTCTATGAAGTGATACTTGAATCTAAATTCCCTGTGGAGACGATATTTGGATCTTAATTTTACTCATCACTTGCTGCAATCCTAGTGCACTTGCTAGTGTAGATTGCTAACAACAAGTTTTTGGCGCCGTTGCCGGGGAATTTTGCATTTCAATATCATTAGTAGTAGAAAAGTA